AGCTCAGCGACGCCGGCACGCTGCCCTGCGCAGGCTTGATGTGCAGCAGCGGCTCGTGCGGCGAGAGCAGCCCGTTGGAGCCGGGGCTGAAGGCGGCGTCGAGCGAGGAGCTCACCGGGAAGCTGCGCCCGCCGAACGACGCCGGGTGCTGGTAGGCGCTCAGCGCCGACGACGATGGGAACGTGCCCGAGCCGGGCAGCGCGCCCGAGATGAAGAGCTCGGCGGGCGCCGGCGTGTGCATCGCTGCGGGCGGCGTGGCCCCGTCAGCCCCCGCGGTCCCTGGCACACAGGGGCACCCCTGGGACACGTGGGGACCCCCCGCGACCTATAGGGACTCCCTCAGGACAGGTAGGGACCCCCATGAGAGGTTATGGGGTCCTGGGACACGTGGGGGGTCCTGGGACACGTGCGGACCTCCCAGAACTCCTAGGGACCCCCATTGGACAGATAGGGACCCGCGGGAGATGTTGTGAAAGCCTGGGACATATGGGGACCCCCGGGACATGTGGGGACCCCCCAGCAGATGCTATGGGGGCATGTGACATACGGAGACCCCCATGGGACAGGTAGGGAGCCCTGGTACATGTGGAGACTCTTCAGGACATGTGGGGATCCCTGGGACAGGCAAAGACCCCTCTAGCACGTGTGGGGACCTGCTGGGGCTGGTTATGGGGACCTGGGGCACATAGGGACCTCTGGGGGTGCATGGGCCCCCCCAGGGGCACATAGGGATGCTCTGGGTCAAGACGGGACCCCCAGGGGGACATGGGGACCCTGGGGTCAGGATGGGACCCCCCAGGGCACAGAGGGACCCCAGGGGTACATGGAGACCCTGCGGGTCAGGAGGGGTCCCCAGGGCACACGGGGACCCTGTGGGTCAGGATCGGACCCCCCCAGAGCACAGAGGGACCCCAGGGGGACACGGGGACCCTGTGGGTCAGGAGGGGCCCCGCCGCTCACCGGTCTGCCAGGACGGGGTGCGGAACTGGGAGAGCAGCGAGGAGGCCGAGGGCCCCGGCTGCGGCGCCCGCGACTCCAGCGCCGAGATGAGGTTCATGACGGAGGCGTCGGGTGCCGCGCCGCCCGCGTGGTGCAGCCCCGCGTCAAAGAGCCCCGAGAGCCCTGCGGGACACGGGGCGGCATGGGGGGACAAGGGGACACACAGAGACACCCAGGGACATGGGGCCCCGAGAGCCCTGCGGGACACGGGG